AAAAAACCCCACATACTCAACGTGTGACGAGTGAAAGGATTTGACACAAACATCAGAGCCGTCATTGGCTATTTTTATCATCATCATATGACGATGTCTGAGGTCTTCTTCCTGTGGACTTTTTGTCTGTTCAGAGATGTCAGCTGACATAGAAAAACCACCAAAACTACCTACTCATACACTACCTGCCAGCTGCTACAATGACAGAAAAAGCACAAAACTCAGAGGGAGACAAGCCGGGCAGCTCTTTGCACCCTACTCTCCTCATTACTTTCTATATTTCCGACCTGTTTTAGAGCACGAAGAGCCGATATTTCATCTTAATTAAACGCCTTTTGTCCTCGTGTCTGTCCGCTTTACGGCACACGGGCTAAATTAGGTTACTGTCTGAAGAGGGAACGGCCTGTTTGAGCTCTAACATGTGGTGTAAGGAAGAGTAGACGGGTGATGAATAGAACAGTGTGTGTTAAAGAGTGTAGTGTAATGTAGCAGCGGCGGCGGCAGAAGAGAAAAAAAAAATATAAGGAGGAACAACAGCTCAAGCCAGAAATATGCTGCGGTTCAACCTGGCCCTCTCTCCACAGGAAGTATGACGGGCCCAGGGTGGGTTATTCCTTTAATAGAGGAATGTGCAGCCTCGAAGCTCCTGTCTGCCTGCTAGGAACTCACATATTAATGAAAGGGAGGGAGGGGGGAGCTGTTTCTGTCACCACAGACAGACAACACTGAAGGATTGATTGATAAGTCAAATGACTGATAATACGTTGATAGATAATTGATTAATCGTTAGGTTATGTTTAAGTTTTAGACTTTTGATCGAAGAGAACAACAGTTTGAGGAGAAACTGTGATGGTCACTTATTTGTTTTTACTATTTCCAAACATTTTAGAGATGAATTCATTTAAAAATGATGATCAAAAATAATAATCATTAGTACACCAGTCACACATATAGATAAAGTCTGTAACATTATCTTTAATCAGATATTTACTGCTCTTGTTAGTTCATTTTTTTACTCTTTTAGTTTATTTCCAGAGTTTTTATTAAATTAAAAAAAGTGGCATATTTATAGTATTTATACATGTACATAGCTCCTTGTAAAGCTGTACACTACCTACAGCCATACACACTGATGGACTACGTTCTCATTCTGTATTCTTCTCTGTCTTATCTGTGGATGCGAGGAGTGATTCGTGGCCGATGCTCCAGAGCAATAATAATAACAGACCGGCCTTTTCAACCACTGCATATCTGCGTCCAGAGAGGAGACGGAGCGAGAGGGAGGGCTGAACTCATTTCCGACACTCGCTATCCCCTGAGTTTTCTATCTGCCATGTGAAACTACAAACCTGTCAAAGTCAGGACTTCCTCCTATTCTACTTCCAAGGACAAATGGTGAGGAGAGGGGATCCCACAGCAGGGGAGCATTTCCCCAGTCCTGCCACACTTCCCACTAAAGTCCCAACGGGGAGAGGGTCAATAGATCAAATCATTGTCCCCTTTCCACAGCTCCACCCTTTAACCCACTCTGAACCCAGACTTCACTGTGGCTTTTTAAAAACACTTTGAAGTAAAAAAAAGTAAAGCTCACCAATACAGGGCTACAATTAGACCAGTGTGACTTCCAAACATTCACCTTTACAAGATGCTGCAAACAGCAGCACAGGGGGAACTTTAAACAAGTACTGAGCAACACCTCCTACAGACACCAGAAAATACCAATAACCTCACTGCTGATTTATTAATATTAGACAGATAGGCCAACCACACACACACACACACACACACATACACACAGATAATAACCTCACACACTGGCCCTACAATGAGCCAAGCGCAGACACAGTGAGAACCGCAGACATGCTATAACTCTTTCTAGGAATATTACAGGAGCATTGCGGCAACCACTGGTTGTTGGGTCGGGGATCGGGAGCTCCTGCTGCGGATGCTCGGACTGAGAAAGTCTCGCTGTGCCGCACAAAGCCATCCAGTGTGTTGGCTGAACGGAAACTCCTAATGAGATTAGATGGTGTGTGCAGACATTACTTAGCCATGACTAAATCTGCTCTCTTCCTGTTCGCACACGGTGGAAAATTCAACAGGGGCCCAATAAGAAAAGCATCTCTAAAAAAAAAAAAAAACAGCGGACTCTTTTTTTGTGTTTGTTTGTTTGTTTGTTGCATTGCTCGTCTTTTGTTTGCCCTCTCTTTCTTTCTAGAGGAGGCTACAGTATGTATCCGGGATTTCAAAGCAGTAGCAGAAACTTTACGCACAGAGGTCTGGATCTCTATTCTTGCTACACTGACTCATTTTCAAGATGTTGCTCGGACCGGAAGACGGCACACAATCGCGTCCGAGTCTGAATCTGTGTAACTATTCTTCATCAAAAAAAAAAAAACTTCCCACAAAAGAAATACAAAAAAAAACAGCCTCGATCCGAAGAGTTTGAACACAAAGCAGAAAAACCTCACAGCAGAAAGGGCAACTTACATAAAGTGTGAACACGGTCGCTAACAGTTCCTAATCATGCATTATTTCACACCTCGACAGACAAACCCACAAAGCAACATGTCAACACAGAAAGAAAGAAATGGTTTATTTCACGTTACCTGCGATCTTTCACTCAGTCTTTTTTTTTTTCCTCTCTCTCTCTCTCTCTCTCCCTCTCCGCGAAACTTTTACGGTGAAGCTTGTGTGATTCCTTGTTTTTCCATGCTTACTTCTGGTCTACACGGTTGTGCTGGACTGAAATAGGATCCTGGGCTTTTTCTCTTTCTGAGCAGGAAGTTGGAGCAGGCAGACACAGAGCCGGCTCACTTCCTCTCCCCGACGATTCCCCAGGCAGTTTGCCGTCTGTGTAAACACACTTTTCCTCCCCTCCTCTTCTCCTCTGCCTGCCCGCTGACGGCCAGCAGTGGGCCTAACCTTACTCTGTGTTGGCACACATGGTGATACAGAAACTCCTACAGACCCTAAACTGACATCATCAGTCCGACTCCGCAGCCTGCGGTGGTGCGTTCAGGTACGCCTCGTTAGTTCGCGCACTTCCATCCGCAGGTCAAAAGTCATGTGTTTAAAAAAAAAAAATTATCGTATGGGGACTAATAATTTACTTTTTGATCAAGAAATGCAGCTTTTGTTAGTAATATGCATATTTAAGTTGGTGTATTATTATTATTATAAGTGGGGAGAATCTGTCAATAAAAATAAATGCAGCTTTTTGTTTGACTGTATGAATTTATGAACAGTGGAGGATATTTACATTTTACGACAGCATAAGAGACCCTTACAAATTATTTTATTAAAGAAAATTAAAGAAATGGAATATATGCATTACAATACATTTGACTGTGTAAATTAATATGGAATAGAAATGAAAATATATGTATGCAAAAAGTCCAGTTGCAACGCTTTCAAAATCTTTATATAATACTTGTTATATACTGTTTGCCTGTTATTTTAATGCATTTCAATATATAATAACATTTTTTATTATTTTCAATACTAGTATCTATATATACATTTGTTGTTCCTTTTTTAAATCCTTAATTATTGTTGGAAAAACCGAAATACATATATTTAACAAAAAATGTTTGATTTGAATTTATTCTGAATATTTTGTCAAAATGAACGTAGGTTGCTAGTTAGCCTTTTTACATGAAATGTTAAACAGTGATAGAATAAATGATTTTTACCCCCAGTTGTTGCCTGTCTGATTAATAGCCTGTTTAGTGTTAGATAGGGCCTGCTGGTTTTTAACAAGTTTGGCAGCCGCTGTAGTTTCTCCTATACACTCCACAGCCCGTTCTCATTCCCAGGCCGTCAAATACAAATGCGAACGACATTCAGTTAGTTGCAATCTGAAACTTCACCACTAGATGTCGCTAAATGGGATGATATTCTACAAAAGTCCTCACCTGGCATTGATCCGTTGATGTTGAAAATACATGGTACTGTAAATGGTTTGCAACTTAGATCACTTGGCCCAAGGGGACACCAAGAGATGGCTACATTTAGGCACCATATTAAATATAGTTTTGGTAGCACTGCTTTAGATCCCTCTCATTTTATTTAATTGTTTTGGTAAATGTCAGCATTTGTCATTAAACACAGTTCAGACTGAACTGATTTTGTTCTGCATCCTGTCAGTTTGTTAAACCAGAGGTCAAACAGTGGATGTGGAGGCAGGTGATGAAACTGGCTCCATTGCAGTTGCGTGTTTGTGATATTGACTACAGTACAAATGTTTGTTTGTAATAATATTCAGCTGACTGGCTGTTTGTTTGTTGTAACCTAGGCTTTGTTTTTGCTTGTTATGAAACAGTGTTTGCTCTGTGATGCAAGACAACTTTCATAGAAATCTGACAAAGCAAAGCTAATCTAATCTAAAAGGGTAATTTGGGATTAGTTGAATGTTTGGTAATGTGGTTAAATTCAGGGTAGAAACTGTTGGCAGGACACATTTCTGCTTATAAATAAAGTGGGACCCTCACGAAGAAGAGTGAATGTGAGATTTTGATGATGCACTTAATCTTTGCAGAATAAGATCTAATTGCATCATAAGATTAAATTGTTACATGCCTACCACGAATCAAATTTAGTTTTAAATATTGTGTCAGCCTCCTATAACATTTACACACACTCGAAATGTCTGACAAGTGGAGGCTGTTCTCTCTCAAAATGAAGAGAAACATTTTTATGAAGTCATTTTGAGAATAAATTGGTTCAGTTGTTACACTTTCAGTGAAATCCTGTCTAACTGTCTGTTGGCCTTCAGCAGAATTCACTCACCATGTCTGACTCCTTCACCTGGACGCTTCCATGTTTTATTCTGTGGTTAAATCACGTGAACGCCTGTGGGTCAGTATGTCCAAACATCCGTGTGACCGACCTGTGGAGGTCAGTGGTCCCCAGAGGTGTGACACCGGCGAGGCGTGGCTCTCCAGCGGTGCGTCTGATTGGCGGCTGAACTTCAGGCGGCTGAAGGTGGTACCTTGAGAGCGGCGAGCAGCGCTCACTGCAGCAGAGTCCCGCTGAAGCGCAATGCCTCGTTTTACTGTCCACATCCGAGATGAGTGGCTGGCAGTGCCCTGCCGGGATACCACCAACACCATCCGGTGGCTGGGACATGAAGCTCTTAAACGCTACATGAAGAACAAACCAGACGACGGCGGCATCAAGGCCCTGAAGGACACTCGTTTTGTTGTGCGCAGGTGCCAGGGGTTAGGTTTGTTGGACGCGGATGACACAATCGAGGATGTACTGGAGGATAATGACTTTGTCGAGATCGGTAATGACCGTGTGCATTTAAAATATAAGAAATGCATGCAGCCCATTTGGGGAAGATTGGAGATGTTTTTACCACTAGCTGTGCGTAATTGTGCATGGTTAGTTATTTACCGACGGTACGAGGCATTAAATGTAATTATATGATCTACCAATGAGAGAGAATATGTAAAATGTGCATTATTGTCCTCTCTTACAGCCATTGACGGCGACACCATGTCTCCTGACTTTATCCCGTGTGAGCCTGGAGTTTCTAATCTGTATCCTTAAACTTAAGTATTTGTGCCACTATTTGTTCTGTAGTTGGAACTAAATACTGTTTATTAAATCACTGTTTTTAAATGTTATCCTTAATTAAACTATGTGAAATAGTACAGCAGCATACCGAGAATCAGCAGAAGTAAGTACCTATTCTCTGTTATACTTTAAAACGTATTACTGACAGCCTCTGTGTAACACGGCTCTTCCTGTGCAGTACATTTCCCTGGATGGCAACAGCCTGACATCTACAGATCTGGTCAACTTAGGAAAGGGACTTTACAAGATAAAGGTAATGATCAACACATTTGTTGTCATGGTTGTTCTGTGGTAATCTTTGACTTAAAGTAATCATTCCCTTTGTCAACATTTTCAGCTGACTCTCGAGGCAGAAAGAAAAGTTGTGCAATCCAGAGAGCTTTTGGACACCATTGTTAAAGAAAACAAAGGTTAAGATACATTTAAGAATAAAATGCTTTCAATGTTAACCAGCTACGGCAAAATTACAGTATTACAAAAATCGGTGATCCCATGTATTCACATCTCCTATCTCCTCCAGTTGTCTATGGAATCACAACAGGTTTTGGCAAATTTGCCCGAACAGTCATTCCTGTCAGCAAACTCAAGTAAAGTCAATATGTTACTATCTGGTTTCTTTGTCAGCATTAGATCATCTGAATGAGCCGTTTTTATGTGCTGATTGATGGCCGTGCACTTCTTGTTCCACAGGGAGCTGCAGGAGAACCTGGTGCGTTCACACTCAGCAGGTAATAAACCTAGACAGACACTCTCAAGATCTTCAGCACACCGGATGAAGTGTTTTAGGTTGTGCTGTAATTATATCAGTATCATTAATGTTCTACTATGGTGTGTAGGTGTGGGAAACCCACTGAGCCCAGAAAGGACCCGCATGCTGCTCGCTCTGAGGATCAATGTTCTGGCCAAAGGGCACAGTGGAATATCTCTGGAAACCCTTCATGCCATGATCCAAGCCTTCAACGGTAAACCACAAGCCTCACTTTACCTGAGCTGACCTGGGATATCAGCTTCAGTCCACTGCTGAACGCTTCCTTTAGGGATCAGTATTGTGCAAGCTGACTGTCATATTACCAATCATCTCTAACTTACTTTATCCCCGCAGCTTCCTGCCTCTCCTTCGTCCCTGAGAAGGGAACAGTCGGTGCTAGTGGAGACCTGGCACCTCTTTCTCACCTGGCCCTGGGGCTGATGGGAGAGGGTAGGATGTGGTCTCCTAAGAGCGGATGGGCAGATGCCAAATATGTAAGATCTTACAGATAGAATTGTGGCTTTTCCAGGGTTGTATGAATGTAACTTTATTAAAGGACTAGTGTGTAGAAGTAGTGAAAGGCCTTATGTAGAGGCAGTTTTTGGGTTGTCCTTTCTGAGCTACTGTAGAAACATGGCGGACTGCCTCTGTAGAAAATGTCTCATTCTAAGGTAACAAAAACACAACAATTCTTATTTTCAGGTAATTATACGTTAATAAAAACATACCTATGAATATTATATACAATATCCACCTAAATGTTACACACTGGACCTTTATTGCTGCAGGAAATGTGCCATTTGCTTGTAAGAGTGAAAGGTTGCAAGGTCCATGTTTGCTTTTTGATGACCCTTTGACCTTTTACATGTTTTATTTTTTTTCTTTCATCTCTGGCCAGGTCCTGGAGGCACATGGACTGAAGCCAATATCACTAAGGCCTAAAGAGGTAAAACCAACCAGGCTCTCTCATATTTGATTAACCTGCAGTAAATGACCCCGGGTTCACTGGGTAGGCTACACATTGTGGTCTCCCAGGTACAGAATTTATAAGAACCAGAACGGTGTTTACATTTACAGTTATACAGCACAATATAGTGCATTCTCCTAGTAGCTTCTTTAAATGGAAAATATGTTAATCTCACTGTCTGTCTTTCCCTTGCAGGGTCTCGCTCTGATCAACGGGACCCAGATGATCACCTCTCTGGGGGCGGAGGCCGTGGAGCGAGCCCAGGCAATTGCTCGGCAGGCAGACATAATCGCCGCTCTGACCCTGGAGGTGCTAAAAGGAACCACCAAGGCCTTTGACAGTGGTGAGCAGCGGCAGTAGTGAACATAATCACAAACTAGATGGAAATATTTACCTCAAACTTCAAGATTCTGTATCTATTCCGTCCTTCCTCATTTTCTGGTCTCCCTCCTGCAGACATCCACGCGCTGCGTCCCCACCCAGGACAGATAGAGGTGGCCCTACGCTTCCGCTCGCTGTTGGACTCTGATCACCATCCATCCCAGATTGCAGGTCAGAGAACAGACCCAGATTCTAAAACAGACACGTAACACAACATTATATAATAATGCAAAGATATGGTTATACACTTAACACCTGGGCAGTACTGTTGCCTCACAGCAAGAAGATCCTGTGTTCAAACCTATCCACAGCTTACAGCGCCACAATGTGTGGCGTTTACATGTTGTGGTACCTCACCTGACACATATACATCTCTACCACTATACAGAACATTTCTACCTCTGCCCTTGATCAATATACTGGTTTTACAGCTGGAGCGTTGCACTGTGGCTGCCTACAACTCAAAAATAGTTCAAATGGGTCAAACACAGAGAATGTATAAAACCAGGGGGATTAATAAAGGTGATATTATGCCTGCATTGAACCTTTAAACATGTAGTACTTAATGTGTGTCATTTGGTGTTTGATGTTTTTCCAGAGAGCCACCGGTTCTGTGACAGAGTCCAGGATGCGTACACCATGCGCTGTTGTCCTCAGGTAACCTCAAGTCAAGTTTATTTATACATCCCAAAATCACAACGTGTCTCCTGGAAAATGAACAAACTCTGTGGTGGATTCTCACATTCAGATTGTTAGACTTAAAATATTTTTCAGTGGTTTTCTGAGCATAGCCTCCTGTTTCTCTACACAGGTTCATGGAGTCACCAATGACACAATAAATTTTGTCCAGAACATCATCAATACAGAAATCAACAGTGCGACTGACAATCCTGTATCCTTCTGTGATATAAAGATGAGAAAAGTAATCTAGATGTGCCACTTTTGTTTCTGCACTCCAAACTTTAGTAGGGCATCCTGATAGAGCTGGCACCCTGTGTACGAAGGCTGAGTCCTTCCTGCAGTGGCCATGAGTTTGAATTTGACCTGTGGCTTTGGTGCGTGTCCTCCCCTCTCTCTCTCTCTCTTTCTTCCCCCTTTCCAGTTTATCTCTTAAGCTGTCCTGTCTAAAGATAAGATAAAAAACTACATTATTTATTTTCCTTAACAACCACACAAGATGGTATTCGCTGAAAGAGGTGAGACCATTTCAGGTGGGAATTTCCATGGTGAATACCCAGCTAAGGTATGCATGTTTGTGACTGTGAAAATATTTTTGGTATTTGTTGTAGATTTCTGTTCTCCTCTCTTTCATTGCCCCTTACCTTTCTCTTATTAGGCTCTGGACTTTTTAGCCATTGCAGTCCATGAGCTGGCCTCTATCAGTGAGAGGAGAACCGAAAGGTTGTGTAACCCTTCACTGAGTGAACTGCCTGCCTTCCTCGTCAACGAGGGAGGACTCAACTCAGGCTTCATGATTGCTCACTGCACCGCTGCTGCTTTGGGTTAGTGTACAAAGGATACAAAATAAATAAAGCACAAACATCAGTAAGGTTAATTATATGTCACTATGTGTGTTATGCATGAACCATGATTCTAATGTCCATTTTTGTACTCTCTAGTTTCAGAGAATAAAGTTTTGTGTCATCCATCTTCTGTGGACTCCTTGTCCACCAGTGCTGCCACAGAGGACCATGTGTCCATGGGAGGCTGGGCTGCTAGGAAAGCCCTGAGGGTTGTGGAGCATGTGGAGCAAGGTAAGGCTTTTTTTGAAAGATCTGGGCATCATTGAATTGGATTATTATTAATATAAAAAAATCTATCACAGTAATTGTCAAAATGGAAGTGGGAGTCAAAATGCTAGACACAGTGATGCAGTTACTAAAATAACAACTATAGTGTTAGTAGTACTGTAAGTCTTGGACTGGCGTCAAATAAAAAAATTAAACACTAGCAATTTAAAAAGATTTGATAACCACCTAATTTTAAATAAGCTTCAAAAGCAACAAGAAACAACATCCAGTTCCTGGGGCCTCTGTTTACCAACTGTGGATAAAACTGCATCAGCAAACAAATCAATTTTCAAAGCTCATTGAGGATATACTGGTTAACCATAAAACAGGCTGAAAAAATACTTAACTGAATCAATGCCAGATTTGTTCTTTTCTCTCCATGTTTTTGTGTAACAAATACTCACAGGAAGATACTATAAGACATAATATTAGCTGCAATAAGCTTTCAACCTACAATATCAGTGGCTGTTCTACATGCACATATAATATTTATTTTTAAATAAAATTGTAATACATCCACACATGCTGCACAACTAATTCAAAGATTTGATGAAGCAGAGCATTTTCAATGGACTCCACATCTCTAAGTCCTCTGACATTTAACTTTAATTTTAAGGAACACACAGTTCTGAACATTTATGACTTTTTAAAGCTCTATTTGTGATCTGATAATCTCATATTATTCAATGTCTCTCACATTGTGTAAGCCATTCGCATGTGTCCAGTATTTGACCTTACTGGAAACACATTGTAAAGCTGTACAAGACTGTAAAGTAGAAATATCAGATCTTGTGTAACATTTTAATTATGTAACTGGACACTAATGAGAGGACTGAACTAAATTAGACATATTTTTAAAATAGCATCAAATAGCCAATTAACACAAAAGGAGAACTGGCAACATTATGCAAATCTAATTGATGTTTTCTGGGATCAGTTCTCGCTATAGAGCTGTTGGCGGCCTGTCAGGGTATTGAGTTCCTCCGCCCACTTCGTACCACCACTCCACTGGAAAAGGTCTATGAACTTGTGCGCAGTGTGGTCAAGTAAGTCAAACATATGTGGCCAAGGTACACAGCTTTCAGTCTACTGAAATGATGTGCAGGATAGTTAATATTTATCCACTGTTCCACTTCTGACTCTCATACTCTCAACTGTTTTGCCGTTAACAGACCGTGGATTAAAGACAGATTCATGTCTCCAGACATTGAAGCTGTGCACCGTCTTCTACTTGACCAGAAGGCAAGTGACGTTAATTCTCAGTCAATGTGTCCAACCAATATCAACCCCACAGGGATGTATATTCAGGGCAGAATTGTGATTTTTAAATTATATTTCCTACTCAGGTGTGGAACGTGGCCAAACCATATATTGACAAGTATCAGACGGAGTACATCCCAGAGTCTCGTCCCGTCTCTCCGACTGCCTTCTCTCTGGAGCCTCCGGCATCACCGAGGAAGCGCGTTCGTCTTGAGTGAAAGAAAGCATGTCCAATTTTTGTTTATTTTTCAACAACTAAAACTAAAAAAACATGATATATTGACACTTTTGTTAATTTGAATGAAAACCAGCAACAATCTTTGATCTACGATAAAATTTGATTGTTTTGACCCTTTTGATTTCTGACATTTAAGGTTTTTAATCCTTGAGGATATCTTGGTAATTAGAGAATTAGGTTTGCTATATATATATATTTCTCTAGTTAGTATTGGGAGTAAAAGGTGCGCTGTGCACTAGAGTTGTATTTATCTATACTTTGTTGTCCCTTTATAATATGCCTAATTTGGTTTTTATTGCCACATGACTACCTCAGCCATTGTAACATTTTCATATAAAATATTTTTTAATGATGTAGCACAAACACAACTACAATTAAGTGTTGTTTTCTTTCTGGTGTAATTATATAAAATCTTAAACGATTGTCATCTATACATTTCCAACTTAAACAACACAACAATAAAAGTTTTTAAAGCTGCATTTCTGAACAGTTTGCATGATTATGTAAAGCCTGCTTTCTGCTCACTACTCCTGTTACATCTGTTCATTTAGGGTATGTTTGTGGTTGACAGAAAATTACTTTATGATTCACTCACATATGTATCATTATTATGATTACTTTGAGTATTAGCTGTGGTAGAAGTACTGCTAGTAGTAGTAGTTGACTATGTGAGATCACAACAAATTGTACGAAGTAGAATGTAAAACAAAAGCGACTGTGAAGAAGGAACTGCAATATAGCAAATATTTCTGTAAATCTATATATATATAATGTATGGTTGGAGGTTTATCTAACTGTAAGTTGATCTGACCAGAAGCTCCTGATGGTGTCTGGCTAAAGGGGAACAGACGGCTACTCAACAGTTGATGAAATAAGTTGATGGCTGTAAATTAACACCATTTATGTCTAGGTTTAATGTTTGAGCATTAGTACTGTAGTTGTTGTAGTTATCAATAGGGCTGCAACCAACAGTTATTTTAATCTGTTGATAAATGTCTCTGCTAATTGTTTTGCTTATAAAATGTCAGAAATATAAATATCAGCATTATAACTTCCCAGAGCCCAGGCTGATGCTTCATCCAACAATCAGATTAAAAGTCAAAGATATTCAGTTTACCATCATATGTGAACAAGAACAGGATCAAATATCCACATTTAAGACATCGGACCCAATAAAATGTTTGACATTTTTATTTGAGAAATGACTGAAACAACTGATCCATTTTCACAATAGTTGCTGGTTGATTTCCTGTCAATCGATTCTTTAAGCAACAGATTGTTTAAGCTGTAACTATCTGTGAAATAATACAAAATACATTAAGAAACCGATTAATAGCCCATCAAAGTTGCCCCTTTTGTTCAGTAACAGATGAGCAAACCTTTAGATAAATTCAAACAATGAATATCAGCTTGTGGGATTTGATGATTGTGTTTACATGCATACTGCTTTTGTTTTCTGTGTGCTGAACCTTGGGGAAGTTAAGTTTAACAGAAGCTTCCTGGTCCAGTTAACCATCGCCTACCTGTCCAGGCTGAGAGGCCACTCTGCCACCTTCAGGTACTGTGAAGAAAAACCAGAGGAAGATAAAGCGGGGGTATGTCACAGACCTGTAAAGGCAGCTTTGGTTAACAAATTCAAAGGTTACACAAACAAATCAGAACAGATAGTAGCACAAGGGGCAGACGATGTGCACAGAAATAGCTCAACCATACAATACAAACTTTGTCATTATGTATTTATCCTACACAGGCTAAAGTACTTCCTGATTAAACAGAGCTGAATCTCTGTTAGAGGTAAAACCAGAACAAAAATATCCACCTCCAGCTTAGGCCCATGTTATAAGGGTTTATGGGTAAACATTTATGAGCAAGTAGGGCTGCACAATATGGTAAAACATCATATTGTGATTATTTTGACCGACATTGCAATTGCAATATGATTCACAATTAGTGTGGGACTGATTGTTTTTTCAGTATAAATTATATTAAATTAATAAGATTAAAATCATGATGATGTGAATTTTAGGGGGATTCTGTACCGAACAAACTGATTTGTGGGTCAGGGCATCTCTTCATGACTACAGTACTTCATTTTAATGCTGTTTTGTCACATTTTACATTTATTTTAAAAAATGCATCTTCTGATTTGCATATTGCACTTGGCCATATTGCAGTTTCGATAATATTTCATTTGTTGTGCAGCCCTAGTATCAAATCTAATAGTTTCATAGCATGCATAGACACCTACAGGGTCATAAATGGGCATTTTCTACTTTTTAGTTATTACGTTTAACAAATTATTAAAATCCCATGTTAATGAATACATATATATATATATAACGTATAACAATTTTAACACTTGCAGTCTCAAAAGTCTACCGGTGTCAACCAAAAACACACTTTATAAGTAACATTAAGCCCAGACACGTTGTGGCTAGCAGGGCAAGAAGCAAAATAAGCCAACAAAGTCGTAACTATTTGCAGGAACAATAAATCCAACAATACCAGCGTTGTCGGTTAGATCGCACAAAAAATAGAGTAATAGTACTAAGATTTGTTAGATATATATTAAAAAAAGATGTCTCCTTCGAGCCGGATTCGAACCAGCGACCTAAGGATTTCAGCTGTGATGCCTCTACAGTCCTCCGCTCTACCAACTGAGCTATCGAAGGGACGGTATACGGTGGGTCCACACGTCTGTACTAAAAGCTCACCTCGCTCAAATCTGTAATGTTTTGTAAAGTAATTTCGGTCCCGTTAACTTTATGTTCAAAGTGCGGCCGCGCCCGAGCTGATGCGAGTTACCTAACGTTCGCTCGCCTACCTAACAAACTAATGTCATTCATTACGTTAGCTTTCAGTGGAAGTGAAGTCATCGCCGCCATAAGTTAACAGGATAGCTTTGCTCACCTGTAATGTAACAATATAACGTTAATTGTAACTGTGCGTCTTCTTCGATGCCATTTTTCTGAAATAATACGGCAACAATGCTCAACTTCAAGCGATCAGAAATGTGTGATACGAAGAAACGGCAAAACAATAGGCGACTGCATTTCCATCGCAGCCTACAACTGCAACATAAAACAATAACGCGACAGCAACCGACCAAACTGCTTTATATGGCAAATCTCCGAGCTTACATTAAAATACAATGCAAGGCATAAAAGCACCGAATCAAAGTACGGAGACCTCGGGGAGAAAGGGTTTTTGGCGGTATTGTTTTGGCGTTTAAGTTATAAATGTGTGCATCAGCATGCATTACATATATAACCGGGACATCTGGTCACCCTGGTCGGGAATAATTAGCTAGTAAAAGTTGGGAAGCCACTTACGTGTAGAGAACCGCTTAATGCCACAGATAATGTAAGGTAACTTTAGTCCTTGCACATTTAGCGATTATAGGAGGCTTGTGTGATTGGTTGTTCAAAGATCGAATTTGTGATTTGATTTCCTTATGAAAGATGGATCTCGCCACTTGATTGGCGTTTAGAAAGATGGACTAGGCAGCCGCGGTTGGTTGTCAAAAGATGGACTTGGACATTTGATTTGCTCACAAAAGATGGACTAAACTGTAGGGATTAGTTCTGAAAAGATGGACTTCGAGATGTGATTGGCCATATCTGTGCAGACAGACAGCATTGATGGTTGGAGCTGTGTGTGTGTGTGTGTGTGTGTGTGTGTGTTAACATGCATTGTGTGCTCTTCACAGTGTGTCTGCAAAGAACAAAGGTACTGCTTAGATCTCAGGCAGTGGCTAAAGCCCAGGTTATCTTCCAGCTAACACCAGAGAAGAGGTAGCTTCAGTACAGAACAAAGTAATAACATCCTCATTTGGGAGTTACTGTAACTTTAATTAATTAACAAAAAAATATCAGTCCAGGATAGTTTTTAAAGCAGTATTTGTTTGCAGGGGAGGGGACACATTTAGCATTACGAGACATTTGTATAGTAGTTAGGCCAATAAAAGACAGGCAGGTTAGCTCTTCTTATTATCACTGCCATCTCTTACAATGCCCCAAACAACAGAAAATAGTACTGCTGTTATTTGTGCACAGGGTTTATCTTTGTAGAGCAGAAGACACTTTGTTGTTGTCTCTGCGTTGCTGGTAGCTGCTGTTGGTCCAGATGTTATTGATGTGCTGTGATATGTGAAGTACATTGTTACCAAAGATGGGTTGTGAGTGAAATGCATATCAAGATAACTGCATTTGACTGTAAATAATATATTTTACAACTACACTGTTACCAGTTAATATGTTACAGTAGATTCCTTTGATAGACAGGAGTGGATAATTTTTTGTAGAATAGTTCCTCATTGGGATTTCCCTCATGAAAAGGTCAGTGTTTTATATGTGAACATGGAAGAAATACAGATGTTTTAGTTTTAGACTGGGAAGATTTAGCTTTTACATTTTACCTGATGGTCTCATTCAGAATTAGTTAATCGCTGCAAAAGTATGTTGTGTTTCTTTACTGAAGATCTTATTATAGTAGATACAGTGATGATGATATTTCTTGAAGCAGGTCTATTACTAACATCTTCTTAGTAAAATCCTGAATAATGAGTTCATTTGTTATTGTGGATTTGACAACATGACAACAAATTACTTGTAATTATTTATAGCACTGGGGATGTATTTCTTTAATTTGTCTGAAGCCCCATCATTTTATATTTATGTGCACTAAATTACCACATTGTTCCTTAATAGTCTCTTTATTTTTTAAATTCAAACCTTATTGTCAGATTTTTGCCACTAGGTGGCATCATTCCCTCAAGAAATGACCAAAAACCTCTTTCTTGAATAAACACAGCTACTGTATGTATACTAAGAGATATAATTTATTTGTTGAGAACATTTTAATTTAGGTCAAGTCAAATTATAATCTATTGTGTACACATAACTAAGTGTTATGAATGTAAAAAAGTTCAAATATTTTTAAATATAGTAGGCTATGTGCTTGACTTGAGGTTGTCTGGGGTTTGAGGACATTAGAGGTTTACCAGCTGATTGCATGTAATGAGGATATTTTCAGGTGTTGTGTCACATTGACAGATCAGCCTCTGTAGCCTCTTAGTTTGGTCACGATTCTCTGAACTCATAAACAAACTCCAATTACACTTACTGTGATATGCTACCTTCATTTGCCCTCCGTCAGGCTCACTAAACCCACTGTAAATTCACAAGAGGGAATGTTAGGGTATAGGTGAGAGATATTGGTATCAGTGACTGACGGCGAGTCCTCAAGCTGCTCTAGTCACATAAAATGATCGGGTCTACTTAAATACAAATCCAAGGATACAGTGTTTGCCCTTTACTTGGGTATTTCTACTTCCTGCTACTTTCTACTTCTATACTCCATCTTTCAGAAGTAAATATTGTACTTTTTACTTTTTAACATTTATTTGAGAGCTTTGCAAATTAAGGTTTTACATGCAAAACACAGCATAATTTTAAAATATGATGTTACTTGATTGT